CTGGAAAGTTCAATTTATAACAAAGACATGCACAAAACGAAACTATATTACTTATGCACAGAAAATGTGCCCAGTCCCAAAATGATTCTATTCCTAAAGAGGAAAACATTTGCTAAATACTATATGGGTCTATTCAGTAAGCTGCCGAATGATCTAGCCGTTATAGCAGCTCCCGGCCACCCGGGAGAGAAACACTTTCTCCGGGAAAGTTTTACTCTGCTCGATCGAACAGAGTAAACCTTTCCCACTGGTTCCCACTGCACTGTTGTCTTGTTTTTTTTCTTCTGACATCGTAACCTCTGGCTGCCGTCGGAATAAAAAAAAAAAGAAATCACCATAGGAACGCATAGCTAGATTCCTATTGGCTATTTCAATTTGCAATAGCCAATAGCAAACTAGCTATTGCACCCGCCCACTGCCTACGGCAGCTTAGTGAGTAGACCCCTATATTTTTAAATGGAGGAGCTGTGATGGTAGTTTTCTGCTGATCCAGGACAGAGCAGAGGTGTGCTGAATGCGGCGATGTATTGTCTTGTGTTGCCATATGGAGGGGCTATAACATGTGCATGGTTATGAACACTTTAATGAGTAAAATGTGCTGCTGTTAGGGAAAAAAAAAAAGGAAAACATTTGTATTGATTATCAAATCAAATATTTTCTTTCTAACCAGGAAAATCGCCACGTATGATGGTGAAATACAAAACTTGTACGAAGAGATGGAACAACAGATAAAATCTGAGAAGGAACAATTTCTCTTGCAAGTAGGTACCTAGCTCATGCCTATGTAAAACCCCACCAGCAACCTACATCAAGCTGCTTTTGCATTCTCATTGACTTGTATAGGGAAAGCAGCAATTCTGAACAAAAGCCTGTAGACACAGACCCTTACTATGACTTCACTACTTTGTGGGCCACTGCAGCCAGAGAACGGCTGGGACACTTGAAAAAAACATACTTGTTTTTGGTCCAGTGTTTCAATTGAAGGGTAGACATTTTAGGCAATTGTGCACTTCCAACCTTGTAGCAACAGTTTGGGAAAGGCCTTTTTCTGTTCCAGCATAACATACAGTGCCCTACGCACAAAGCTAGTTCCATAAAGACATGATGAGTTTGGTGAGGAAGAACTCAAGTGGCCTGCATAGAGCCCTGGTCTCAACCCCATTGAATGTGTTTGTAATTAATTGAATCATAATTTGGGAGTCAGGTCTTTTTATTCAATATCAGTACCTGACCTCAAAAATACTCTTTTGGCTGAATGGGCACAAATTCCCACATTCGTCAAAAGCTTGTGGAAAGTCTTCTCAGAAGAGTGGAAGCTGTTATGGTTCCAGGTGAGGAGATATCATATTACTGCCCTTGGCTTTGGAGTGGGATGTCCAACAAGCTCATACAGGTGTGATAACCAGGTATCTACGAACTTTTGCCATATAGTGTAGTACCCCTAAAATGATTGCATCTCAAAACCCAGAGCTGCAAAGCAAGAATGTAAACCACTTAGCCACTTGTGCCAACCTCCCAGATATCCCTCTAAGTAGTTTATTTTCTATTAGTATTATCAATGCAAAGACAGGAACTGCCAGGATTTTTATTATAGTTAATTCTTTATCTCATAAACAAAATTACTGTCTAATGCGCCTGATCTAAACTGTGGGGGAGACAGCTAATGGAACACTTGGCTTTTTTTTTTTATTCAGGAAATACAACTTAATTGAGTCTTAGGAAAAAATACTTGAAATGGAGAACAAATAGAGACTTTATGTTGAACATCTTCTACGCGTTGCTAGCAGCAATGATTAGTGTAGAAATTTTCTGCTTCCTCTAAAGCTTTTAATGGCAAGAGATGAACAATGTGGGAACAAAAAAAAATCTATAATACATCTCTCATCTCGAAATTAGTCATCACGCAGAAAATTGTCACAGCAACATTATTCATGTTTTCTGAAACTTACAGGCATAGTGTATCTGTATTCAGGCAATATAGGGCTCGTTCACACCATAGTACATGTTTTAAAGCGTGCATAATTTATGCACTGTCATGCGATTTTACAATGCATTGCATGGTTGAAGCCCTTTGAAATACATGTCTGTTTCTCTCTTTTATCCCAGGATGCAGTACCTGGGCCTTAGCTTCAAGCCACCAGGCCTGAACACTTTTAGGTCGGGAAGGGAAACAGGTCATTATAGTGTATCTAAACCCAAAAACATATATATTGCTGCTTATCAGTCATAACATGTGGTGGCTGCATTCGTTTTCTTTTTTTAGCCATTTTTTTTTTCCTGTTAACCCTGCAAAAAACATTCTTCATGTTACGCTCGCTCATTCCACTGTATCTACGGAGTGAACTATGGTTGTCATCCAGGCTAAACTTCAAACATATCTTCCTCTCTTTATCTCCATTATATTGGGGTGGGGGAATTGGTAATTTACTGATTGTTTCTGCTTTCAGTTCAGCTGAGCTCAGCTCACAGGAAGTAACAAGGACACTGCATTTCTGGCAAGATTATATATTTTCTGTACTTGCTGAAAATGTTCTTTCAAATCCAGCCACAATCCAGCCACAACATCTTAGGACGGGTAAGCTGCAATATATACAATTTTTGTTTTTGGGTTTAGATATCATTGAATCCTGTGTAAGCGTCAACACTGAACAACACTAACCTTCGTTTAGACCCTCAACTACGACAGATGAATGGAGCAGCAAGAAAGCGTGGGGTAGGAAGGAATTAATAAATGGGGAAGAGTAAGTGGGACAGATCCTCTTTAAGTATACATGTGCTTTTCATAAAAAATAGAATCAATTACTTTTTGGGCCATTGGTAGTTAATTTCTACTTTGTGTTTACTGTTTAACAGGCTCTTATTGTGATCATTTTTGATTAGTAACAAGATTTTTTCATTGATTGCTGTTTTAGTGACACTATATTATTATTTTACTCAGGACACAGAGCGATTTCACACTCGCAGCCACGAGCTAGAGGGGAAGCTGCTGAACAAAGAGCAGGAATTGGATCATCTCATGCAGAAGCAGAGAAGGGTAAGTACACCTCATTTCTGATTTCATACCACTGTGATACCAACTCATTTAAAGATGACCTGTGGTTTGCTGACATGGTAGACCCTCTTTATGGGCTGTCAAAGGGCGTTCTATTTTACCTTTAATATTTCAATTTCCCTCTTACAACTGAACTCCAGGAAACAGATAATTCTTACAATGGGGTTGTTTTAACTGTCAACGGATTTGTATTCCCATTCATTCAGTTCTCAGACTGTGTTGCAGATTGCACAAATCTGCAACACAGCACTATTGTGGCAGAAGACCTGATGTGTCCCTGCTAGAGTTAGGCAACAATTACAGGACTTGTCCCTTCCCTACCCTGTGAGTGGACAGTTAAAGGAGACTGAGCTAATTTCTATACCACACTGCTATCTCCTCCTATCAAAATTAAAAACTGTAGGATTCAGCCATTCATGTTATCACTCACCTGAAAGCATAACTAAACACAAAAATACAAATGTAATATATTGCAACTTGCCATTCCTTAGATGTGGTGGCCGCATTAGTATTTCACTAAGAACCTTCTCAGGAAGCACAGAATGCCTATTGAACTTGCCAGAAATGCAGTGTCCTTGGGAGCTGAAAAGACTGCACAAAGATCTTGATCTTTATTATATAAGCTACTAGGCCTATCAATCCAATATGTCATGGAGATGAACAAAGGCAAACATGTTCAAAGTCCAGCCATTGTGACAACTATGGCTCCCTCCACAAATACAGTGGAGGAATGATCGTAGCCAGGAGGAGAGACTATAGTCAGAAAACGTGTTATTCACAGGATAACCAGGTGGAAATTAAGAAAGAAAAAAACAAAACAAATGCAGCCACCACATCTAAGAACTGGTAAGATGTATTATATAACATTTTTGGTTTTGGGTTTAGATATGCTTTAACCACTCTTGTGTATTACATCACTTCCGGTATCACTCTCTGTCATTTCTCCAGGTGTTGTAGCCGGAGAAGAAGCTGGAGAAGCAGATTGCTGCTTTATCAGCTTCTTTGGGGGGCCCTAGGTGACTTTAGGGGCTTAATCAACCCCTGATGTTTCCATTAAGAGGACCTGTCACATTCTTTTTGCTATCACGTAGGGGGGCTAGTTAGCACCCCTATGTGATAGCAATAAAGTTAAGTGGAAAAAAAACCTTAAAAAATGTAAGTTACGTATTAAAAAAAGCCAACAACATCAGCATACAGCTCTACATGCTGATATGAATTCATCTTACATTTAGTAGCTAAACAAACATATTTTTATTTTACTTATAATTTATTTTTTCCTCTTCCTGGTTTACTTATTAATACTTATAAATTATGTAATCTGTGCCCAAGTGTTACATCCTGGGAAGGTTACATCAGCAGAGCATTGCTGGGAAATCTCATGAAATTGCAGGGAAAGGCATTTTCCTCCCCTGAGATGATGTGCATGGTCACATGTCCTAGTCACATGTGACAGAGTACCAGGAAGTAAAGGGAGATCTAGTAACCTACCCTTAAGTAAAATGACCACTGTCAGAAGACTGGGGAAGAAAAGGAAAATAAGTTATGTAAACAATATAACGCCGAAAATTATCTAGAAGTATGTGTTTATAGATTGGCATTACCAAACATTTCTAATGGTGCCTTTGTTGTTATTTTAAAGATATGGGTAAAGTTCCTCTTTAACACCCCGGTCTTCAAGTGGTTAATTAAGATTCCATCCTTTGTTCGAGTGTGGGGTGCAAAGCTCTGCTAGTTACAGGTCTGTGAGCTCCTACAGGCCAATAGCTCAGGGGAGCTCTATTTCAAACAATGGTAATAAAAAGTGTTATTATACATTTATGGTTCAGATACTATAATGTATTCAACACCAGAACAGAAAATGTTCAGTCAATGAATAAAACAAGAGAATCAAGGGTAGCGTTGTAACTTACAATATAAAACAATGATAAGTTTATGAAGGCATATGAGGATAAATGTTCTGTAACTGTGCTAAAACCTTGAGGATGTAAATCGCAGATACAAGGCAATATTACGGTAGCAGCTACAAAGTGCTAAAAGACAGCACAGCGGATACACTACTAGTCTAGATGGCCGAAAGTTGCGGTTGTAATTTTCATATTTCTGTCCTGTCAATTTCCTTTTAATCACTTCTTGTTTTACCTCCTGACCTCCACCTTCTGTGCTTTACTGCCAAATGACGGGTGCACTTTATCTATTATGGCCTAACTTCTAGCCCTTTATACTGTTTGGTAAAATCTCAGCAGCATTCATCATTGTTACATAATCTCTTTGATGCCACATAATAAGACTCTTCATTTTTTTTGTCCTATTATGTTTTCATGTTTATGTAAATCTGTCTGTTTTCACTTTGTACATTTTAAGTAATACTTTTAGACAAAATGAATTATGCTTTTACGACGGAACAGGAACATCCTTCAACAATTTGGTTATACCAATTTAGGCCAATTACATAATCCCCGTACAGTCTCTCCTCTCAGTTTTGCCTTTTCTGTTTGCATCAATTACAAGTATCTTAATAGACGGATATCATACAAAGGTTTTTTGTGTTTTTGTTATTCTGCTGCTTTTCTCGGTGCTCTAAGATTGGTTGAGTTATTTGTTACATAAGACCACTCCTTATGTTTTTTCACTAAAGGATACTCATGTGAGTCTTTATGCCCAATCGTCCTCTACTCCATTTTTAAAAAACAAGTAGAGGTGAAATGAGGTAGAAAGCATAGGACCTTTGGGTTAATAATATGCTGAATGGTGTAAAAGGGATAGGAAAGGCAAAGGGGCAGTCGTGTTCCCTCATGGCTATTTTTTTGGGTTAATTTGCACATTCAGCATCTAGTGCATGTGAACCCTTAGGCCTGGTTCACACCTGGGCATTTTACAGCGCGTAGGAACGCGCTGTAAAACGCCCTACGCCCAAAGAAGTACAGGAGCTTCTTTGGGGCGTATTTGCTGCGCGTATCCATTAGGATACACCTGGATAGCCCTCGGAAATGCGCGTTTGTCGTGCTTTTCTTTTACCGCAAATCACGGTAAAAACGCATGCCACGAAACGTGCATATTCCCAGGTGTGAACCCAGCCTTAGGATGAGCCCAGCACTAGGCTACCACTACCCCCAGCACTTAACCCAACCATGAAACCTTCCTCTTAAAACTTTGTAACACTTAAAGGATGACAATGTTTCAAATGAACTTTGGCCTAGCCATGCTTGGGTGCCAGACTGTGTCCTAGCCCGACTGTTCTTGAGCTCTAATTGATGGAGCTTGCACGCCCACATGTTTAGTGGCTCAGCTTTTGCAAGGGATCACAAATAACAGACACTGGCTGCTGCCCATAGACTTACCACTAGGGATAAGTCGAGTGATTTCATCTAAATTTATTTCACAGCAAATATACAGATTTTGTCAAACCTTCACCAAAACAGTAACTCTCATCTGCTCATTAAGCAGGTTAGGCAAAATTAGCTTTAAAACAAACTTTTTGTTGTTGTTGTGTTTATTTATAGGGTGTTGGGATTTTATGGTGCATTTAGGGTAGTTTGGCTTCATTTCCTTTGGGGTGTATTTATGAACAATTTGCAGGGCCGTTTGTCCTGCGAAACTCTGTGAACGTTGGATCTGTGTGCATGGAAGCAAAAACTAACATTCTTGGTATATTTTCTTTTCAAGTTGAAAGTAATATTAGGAAAATTTTGCATTATGGCCATTAGATGGAGCTCAGAAAATAAATACCTATTTCCTATGTCCTCAGCTCTATCTAGTGGCCATAATCCGGTATTTTCTTAATATTACATTTTCTTTGTAGACCCTAATGGAGAAGCCATCTACTCACAGGCCTGCAACTAGCTTTTGAGATGTTCGCAAACCTTAACAAAGGAAAAGTGTTGTGCTTTGTTTCATTAATATGAACATGAACTTTTACTAGCAGTAGTTTTCCATAGCACTGTAGTGTGGCTTGTTGAAACTGTTCTCGGCTGCCTTTCTAGCACCTGCAGAGGTCAAAACCACAGGATCTGGATGAACTTCTGCATCCATACGCTGCGTTTATATGATCTTTAAAGAACATATCAGCAAGCCTCTGAATGATTCCTGCATTGGCACCACTAAAGGTGTAGATACTGTAGTTCCCACCTTCTATGAAATTGACATCCTCACAGTAATAAACTTGTTAAATCTACATTTCTGGAGAATGCTTAGGATGAGAAGGTCCTAGCAAAATATCCATAACAACAGAGCTGCTAATGACTTGTATGCCCCATGTGCGAAATTCCAACGTAGAGCCGCACATCCGACAGTTCTTTAAACAATCAGATTTATCGAAAGTTTTATGAACTTCTGCATCCATACGCTGCGTTTATATGATCTTTAAAGAACATATCAGCAAGCCTCTGAATGATTCCTGCATTGGCACCACTAAAGGTGTAGATACTGTAGTTCCCACCTTCTATGAAAACAATCAGATTTATCGAAAGTTCGTATCAGCCAAGTACACAGCAGCGTTATCCCACACCGATCCTATAGCCCCTCATATTTCACCAGATAGGCTTAATCATAGAGACCATGTCTCTATGCCATACATTGGGTCATGTCATGTCAAATATCATATGACCAAGCTCAGAGAATGCATGGGGCAGTGTCAGTGCTCGGTCATCAGCAGCTCTACTAAGGTGTAGACCACTATTTTTATAGCTTTCTGCACAGTTATTGGGGCATTAGAAGGTCATCACCAGTTTCTGGTCCAAAATTTGCAGGAGGCCCTGTACTTATTTAGTTAAATCGCTGGGATTCAAAGTTGTTCTTTTCCCCCCATTATTTGATAACTGCAAGTTCAGGAAAGGTGCCATAAAAGCAATCAGAACAACAAAATCTCCAAATAGGAGAGCGAAGGCTACATCTTAACCCAGTCCTCTTGCTTCAGGCTGTTCGCTGCCACTCATTGTTTTGCATTCCCTTATTGACCTGTACTTCTGAATGTGTTGCAGCTGGAGACACAATGTACAGAACTCAATAATGACAAGTACGAAACGAAAGCAGAGAATGAAAAGCTCAGGCTGACAAACAAAGAGATGAGACGAGAGCTGGAACGGACTTCTCAGGAGTTACTAACTGCTCAGAGACAGCTGAAGATCCTGCAGGAAGAAGCTTCCCAACTACACGAAGAGAGAGAAATGTACCTACATCCCATTATTATCATTGTCATCAACAAAGTTATTAGGACTAATTCTCTAAATGAAATAGTATGTTTAAAGGCATTTTTAAACGGAATATATAGGGGTCTATTGATTCACTAAGCTGCCGTAGGCAGCCAAGTGACTAAAGCTGCCCACACACCTTACAATTTATCTGCAGATTTTCTGTGGTCAGATGGAAAAGGTGCAACAGATTCCTCCATCTACACTTAACTGTGTGAATGGAGTAATCTCCACCTGGGCCAATCTGTTGCACTTTTTCCATCTGACCACAGAAAATCTGCAGATAAATTGTAAGGTGTGTGGGCACCTTAACAGACCCGAAGCGAAGTGAGCCGAACACTGTTCGGCTATTCACTTCAGGCTTGTACGCCTGATTCCAGCCGTATATCTCCAGGTCTAGCCGTATATATCTCCAGGTCTAGCCGAACTCCAGGTCCCCCTCTGCTGATTGACAGCAGCAGTGGGCGGGTGCAATAGCTAGTTTGCTATTGGCTATTGCAAATTGAAATAGCCAATAGGAATCTAGCTATGCATTCCTATGGTTATTTTTTTTTTTTTTGATTCCAGCCGTATATCTCCAGGTCTAGCCGTATATATCTCCAGGTCTAGCCGAACTCCAGGTCCCCCTCTGCTGATTGACAGCAGCAGTGGGCGGGTGCAATAGCTAGTTTGCTATTGGCTATTGCAAATTGAAATCTAGCTATGGTTATTTTTTTTTTAAAATTAATTCAGACGGCAGCCAACTGCTCCGATGTCAGAAGAAGAACAAAAAAACGATCAGGGAAAGGTTTACTCTGCCTAGATCGAGCAGAGTGAACCTTTCTGGGAGAAAGGGTTTCTTTCGCGGGCGGCCGGGAGTCGTATTAGACTCCCAGAGCGTCTGGGAGAGTAATGACAGATGGCATTCCTGGTTAGCAGGTAACCAGGAACACCATCTGTCATTACACACTGAGAACATGGAGAGGCCACTCTCAGTGTGTAATGACAGCGTCCCTGGTTAGCTGGTAACCAGGGACACTGATCTTTCTGAAAGTGGCCGGAGCCAGCCGTGAGATGACGGCTGGCTCTGCCCAGCTGTCAGAAGCAGGCTGTCGGCCGGCAATTCTGCCAGCAATTCTGCCAGCTTCGGCTTTCACCGTGGCTCAGTCGAGCCGAGACACATGCCTTCGGCTCGACTGAGCCGCTCGGCCAACTTCGGGAGCAGAACGGGCTATAGTGAATAGCCCGTACAGCAGCCCTTCGGTTCTACTGAATCGAAGGGGTCCTGGGGCCCATGCCAGCCGAAGGATCAGCCGAAGTTACGGCTAGATCCTTTGGCAGCTTAGTGAATAGACCCCACAGTGTTTTGTATATATTGTATTTATTATATTTGGGACTTCAATTGAACAAATATTGTTTTGTCAGGTAAACAATAAATATTGCATATGGATAAGTCCTTTTTACATTTCCAGCCAAAAGATGCTAATTTTTCACATATACGAGGCTACTCTTAGCTGCTTTATGAAAAAAAAAGACACTTAACAGAGTTCAATAGCTTCAGCTAATATTTACGGGGAAAGGATGACTACCTACCTGCTCTGTATTGCTTTGTACACACTATAAACTAAAGAGAGACAGTGTGAAAGGGAACAGCTTCTGTTGTGCTCTCTCTTTAGAAAATCCATAACATTCCGAGAGTGTCATGAGTGCACCCTCATCATCCTCATCCTCCATTAACCGGTGAGCTACTGACCCGGTAAAAGCTTACACATATCTGGTGCCCTGGCACTTTACTGATTACTTATTCTGAGTTAGTGATACAACAGGTAGTAATGAAATCATTAGAATGACAGCCCTGGAATTTGCACCTTTAAAAGACTGAAAATGAAAGCTCCCATAATTCCATCTTTACATGGACTGATTTCATGGCATATTTAGCTGTCCTGTGTGTCCACCTATAGTTGCAAGAAAAAGTATGTGAACCCATTGGAATTAACTTGTTTTCTGCAGTAATTTGCCATAAAATGTGATCTGATCCTCATCTACAGTAAGTCACAACAATGGACAAACACAATGGAGGGAATTTATCAAAAATGGAACAGACAGAATCTGGAGCAGTTGCCCATGACAATCAATCATCATTTCTCTCTTCAGTTTGCTCAGGTTAGATTTGTAAAGGAGACAGAGAAGCTGATTGGGTGCAGTGCAAATCTGCTGTAGAATTTGTTTGCTCCAGTTTTTATAAATTCCCTTCAATGTGCTTAAGTTGATACACAAAAAAAATTAATTTCTAGTGTCTTTACTGAACACACCCATTAAACATTCACAGGGCTGGAGGAAAAAGTAAGTGAACCCTTGGAGTTAATAGCTGGTCGAACCTGCTTTGGTAGCAAAGACTTCAAGCAAGCGCTTTTGGTAGCTCTGGGTCAGACCTGCACAATGTTCAGGAGGATTGCTTCAGATCAGACACATTTGTAGGATGTCTGGTGTGAATGGCTTTCTTGAGGTCATTCCACAGCATCTCTATGCGGTTAAGGCCTGGGCTCTGACTGGGCCACTTAAAAAGGTCTCATTTTCTTTTTCTGAAGCCAGTCTGTGGTACATTGACTTCAATGCTTAGGGTCATTGTCCTGCTGCATCACCCAACTTCTACTAAGCTTCAGCTGTCAGCACTGACATTATCCTGTAGGATATTTTGGTAAACATAGGTGCTAATTTTCCCCTCAATGATGGCAAGTGGTCCAGGCCTTAAGGCAGCGAGCAAGCCCAAATCATGATAATTCCTCCACCATACTTCACCGTTAAGATGATTTTTTGATTTTGGTAAGCTGTGCCCTTTTTGCGCCATATATAATGCTGAGTATTCTTTCCAAACAATTCAACCTTTGTTTCATCGGTCCACAAAACATTTTCCCAGTAGGTTTGTGGCTTGCAAAAGTGCTCTTTGGCAAACTTCAGGTGCACAGCAATTTTTTTTTGGGAGAGAAGCGCCTTCCTCCCTGGTGTTCTGCCATGGACACCCTGCCTGTTCAAAGATGTATGTATGGTAGACTCATGAACAGGGATGTTTGTCTTCAAGCCTTTAGCTATTACTCGTGGGTTCTTTCTTTACCTCATTGAGGATTATGCATTGTGCCTTGGGAGTCATCTTGGCTGGGCACCCACTTCTAGTAAGAGTAGCCACAGGACTAAACTGTCTCCATTTAAGCCTTATGCCAATCAATTACTCTTGATCATATGTATTCAGAGAACTCCTTTTTGTGAGACATGATTCACAGCAGTTGAAGCTTCTTATGAACAGCAATCCTAAAATGTTTGAGTGTCTTTTATCAATCAAAATAGCTCTAAACCACACCTCCAATCTCATTTCATTAATTGGACGATAGGTGTGCGAGATACTAACTTAACTTAGCTTTCGCTGAAGTAATTAGTCTGTGGATTCACTTACTTTGTCCTCCCGCACTGTGAATGTGTAATGAGTGTGTTCAATAAAGTCACAAGAAATTAGAATTGTTTGTGCGTTATGAGCTTAAGCATATTGAGGAAAATTTATCAATACTGGAGCAGACAAAATCTGGACCAGCTGTGCATTGCAACCAATCATCTTCTCTGTTTCATTTTCAAATCTTAACTGAATCATCTGATTAGTTGCCATGGGCAACTGCTCCAGAATTTGTCTGCTCCAGTTTTGATAAATTCCCCCCATTGTGTTTGTCTATTGTTGTGACTTAGATGAGGATCAGATCACTTTTTGGCCATGCACCTTTGAGAAAGCTAATTTAAGAGCAAAACATGACAGGAGTGTAGTGGCTGTTTGGCAGTGCAGAGCTGATTGATACCGGTTGGCTGAATGCAACGTTTTTTAAAATAATTTGTTACTCAATGGCCTCTTCAATATGGGCTCAAACATCAGCCAGACCTTTATACTGGATCACCATTTGGAGCTTCTAACTCTGTGAACTCAGGAGTGACCTAGGAGTCTGGTAAGACCGTTCTTTATACATGTTCTACATCATAGAATACTATTTTGCCGGACATACACAGGATAGCTGTCTTTGAAGACTGTTTGTTCCCGCACACATTTCATATGAATGTGTATTTGGTGGCTACTAGCAGGTGTACAGCAGGGGACGTGGAGGGTCCTGCCCCCCAGGACGTACTAGCCTGCCTTCAGCCTCAGCACGTGGAAAGTGCGCATTGATATAAATACCTATATCCAGCTATCCTGGTTTAGTCGTCATGTATACATATGAATGAACGGTCAAATAATATATGATGGACACACCTGTAGTCCCCAAAAGTCAGGTCATATCTTTTGGATATGGACATATTTATCACTCTATTTATGATTTGACGTGCGTTTGCATATTTGGCATCACTTTTCACTGGCATCTCAATCAGTTTATGAACATTTGGAATTCAACATACTATGTATATAACATTGAATCATGACGTTGGTACATGGTACTCTGCACAGCCTTTTCTTCCCCTCAGATTTGAATGGGATTTTAGATGTTTTTAGATGGGGATTGTCCTTTTTTGGGGGGTTTATATATTTGTTTATATTATTTTGTTTTTCAGTTTTGAATCAAATGTTTAGGTTTTTTGTTAATTAGAGAGATTCATAGGTGGCTATACCACTATTCAAGGGGGTACACTATGTGTTCTATGATAGATATATTGTACTGATACAGAGTTTTTCATCAAGTCATAGATTATTTACTTACAAGGAATCAGGAGAGACTGTGACCCCCTTATTCACGTGCCGATCCTTCGGCTAGCTTCGGACCCAGGACCCCTTCAATTCAGTAGAACCGAAGGGCTGCTGTACGGCCTATTTACTATAGCCCGCACAGCTCCCGAAGTCAGCTGGGGGGCACAGTCGAGCCGAAGGCATATGCTTCGGCTCGACTGAGCCGAGGTGAAAGTCGAAGCTGGCCAAGTGATGTTACGGCTGGGTCCGGCCTGAATCAGGAGAGACTGTGACCCCCTTATTCACGAGGTGCAATGTTAGTTAGTTAGTTCAGATCACATTTTATGGCATATTACTGCAGAAAACCAGTTAATTCCAAATGGGTTCACATATTTTTCTTACCACTCCATAAGTCAATTCTCTGAAGATGCAGACATGACTGGAAATGTTAACTATTCTCTGTTTATTGGTTCCATCACAGGGAAGTATATCGGGTGACAGAGAGCTTACATCGAGAAAGGACCGCACTGCTCAAACAGCTCGATTTGTTAAGGTACTTTAAAGCAGATCTAGGGGTAAAAATTTTCTTGCAATGGTCATTTTTGCCTATGGTCAAAAAAAAGTTATACTCACCCGAACCCCCAAGCCAGCTTCCTCTTAGGCCGGTCCCTGGAGTCTCTCTCCCCCTCTGCTGCAGCTGACTAAGGTCCCTGAGCCATCACATTCTATACAGAGTGTATCGGGCATGAGAATGCTGAGGGACATACCTGCAGTGGAGGAGCAGGCAAGCAGGATGGAGTGCTGTTCACCTCGGTGTGAGCATGTTCGGCCGACCCGAAACCATGCAAAGCCACCCGATGTACGGCTGATTTCAGCCGATGTACGGCTGAAATCAGCCGTACCAGCCTGAAGTGAATAGCCGAACAGCGTTCGGCTCACTTCGCTTCAGGTCGGTCATTCACTCGGCTGCCTACGGCAGCTTAGTGAATAGACCCCATAGTATTGGACTACTGTGCTTTGCAGCCTACTGTCTTACCAAAAATGCAGCTTGCATTATTTTAGATTATTATTATTATACAGGATTTATATAGCACCAACAGTTTGCGCAGCGCTTTACCACATAGGGAAGACATTATAATTACAATACAATTCAAGACATAATGGTAAGGAGGGCCCTGCCCGTGAGGGCTTACCATCTAAGATCTGTTGTGGTCTGTTGGGACTCCCATTCAAATGAATGAGCTGCCCTAAGGCCAAAGTTTGAGAAAAAATATAATTGACATACTGCACTGGGTGTGTAAATTATCATTGAAAATCTGTGTATTATGTGTGAAGGGTGGTTCCAAAGTATAACACTTTTACCTTGCAGCATGCCGTCTCCTAGACATAATACCGTTCTTTTGGGCGCTACAAGGAGTGAGTAATGTGACTCAAGCAGTGAAGTGCTCCGGTCGCATCTCCACCTGTCCTTACCACTTGGGTAGTGATGGGATGTAATCTCTCTTCCACCAACCACAGGACAATTCGTATTCTTTGAAACAATATATATGGCATTTGTGAATGGGCAAGTAGTAAGGAGGGGATGTGACCTGAGCCCTTCACTGCTGAAGCCGCACTCCTCACTTTCTGCAGAAGACGTTGTCTGGGTAGGAGGCGGCATGCTGCAAGGTTAGATTTTTATACTTTGACGTGGCCCTCCACACACAACATACACCTTTTTAATAATAACGTACACACCAAGTGCAGTGTGTAAGTTATCACTTTTCCCGGAGTTTGTCTGTAGGCTAGGTTCACACCTAGGCAATTTATCGCGCGGATTGAGTTGCACAGATTCACATTGAAGTCAATGGAGGCTGTTCACACCTTTGCGGTTTGTTGCGCGGACGAAATCGTCTGTTGCGCAAAAAGGTGCAGGAGCTATTTTTGGGCGGTTGTCGCGCAGTTTGTGTCCCATGAACGTCTCTATGCAAAACTGCGTGATAACCGAGAATGTGCGACAACCACGCGAAAACAGCTCACCAGCTCAATTGCTTGGGTGTGAACCTAGCCTCAATGTGAAGCGTATTAACGTGTGTGCTTTAAACAAACCACAACTGGTGTGAAGTGGCCCTAAGTGTACACTTTATGATCAGTTACATCAAAAAACATAGTGGGATAAGACTGTCCACTTTTGTATTCATAAAGATTTTTTTTTAAATTTTAGCAGAAATCAAAGATCAACTCCTCAAAATCAATACAGAATCAGAGATCTGGATCTATCATTGGAAATTATTTTGAGAGGAAGCCTTCTGTGAAAAGGTAAATATAGTCAGGGTAAATGGCAATTATAGGGTGACCAATGTTTTCATATGGCCTAAAGGGAACACTGAGCTTTGCCAATGCAAGTTGAGTATAACTTTGCTATTTCTGAACATAGACAAAAATAAGCACTTAACCCTTGCCGTGCGTGAAACAGTATTCACATTTTTTTTAGTACAGCTGGGAAAGCTTACAACCTTGGTCAGGCCTTTTTTTTCTGTCTGTGGCTTCCTGTTGCAGTGACACCCATTCCCCTCTCATTTCTTGTATTGGTGTCACAGAGATTGGAGTCACGAGGAATCACCCTAATGGTGTCACAGACAGCAATAGTAAGCTAACAGGACTCCTTAATTTCCCAACTCAATCAAGAACAACAAAGAAGGTTTATAAGGAGTTGGACTGTAATGTGTACAGTAGATGGAATTATATACAATAATCACGATAACTTTTACATTTTCTCACTTCAGAGAGATGAATAAACACTTACGGGATGAGCGTGACAGCTTTATACAGGTAACACACAATTTAGTTACTTAACTCTTCTCATCAGAAACATAACACCTGTAATGACTTTTCAGTTAGGCCCTGTGCCTAGGAAGTATCATTCCCACCATTCTTGCATTTAGATGTTCCTGGGTTCAGCCACCTTTACATGCATTTAGACGCATTAAGCCACATTAAACCAGACTAAACAGTCCCAAGATGCAGAAAATTCTTGTTTGTGCAAACGCAGCTAGACTGAACCCACCTAGATACTGCTAAATGTCTACGTGTGCATTCAGCCATAGTGCATAGTGCATTTAGAGGTTAGCTCCAAACACACCTGGATGAATGTATTTTGATTCCTGTGTGCATAGGGCTTTGCTTAGGCTATACTGTTAGAATGTAATTTTGTATGTAAAAGATGTTGGGTACGGTAAAGAGGGAGCCGGACCAAGCAGAGGTCCAGTTGCTGTCACCCCTACTCCTATACCACAGGCTAAAAACCAGTGTGGCAAGGTTTCATTTATGCAGTGCGGTAACACACACTATGTTTGTTGGTGCACTGCGAGGCTATTCACATCTGTATTGCAGTGCAGTTCAACACATAGGGGTCTATTCACAAGCAGCCAAAGGATCTACCTTCACACCTTTGCGGTTTGTTGCGCGGACGAAATCGTCTGTTGCGCAAAAAGGTGCAGGAGCTATTTTTGGGCGGTTGTCGCGCAGTTTGTGTCCCATGAACGTCTCTATGCAAAACTGCGTGATAACCGAGAATGTGCGACAACCACGCGAAAACAGCTCACCAGCTCAATTGCTTGGGTGTGAACCTAGCCTCAATGTGAAGCGTATTAACGTGTGTGCTTTAAACAAACCACAACTGGTGTGAAGTGGCCCTAAGTGTACACTTTATGATCAGTTACATCAAAAAACATAGTGGGATAAGACTGTCCACTTTTGTATTCATAAAGATTTTTTTTAAAATTTTAGCAGAAATCAAAGATCAACTCCTCAAAATCAATACAGAATCAGAGATCTGGATCTATCATTGGAAATTATTTTGAGAGGAAGCCTTCTGTGAAAAGGTAAATATAGTCAGGGTAAATGGCAATTATAGGGTGACCAATGTTTTCATATGGCCTAAAGGAAACACTGAGCTTTGCCAATGCAAGCCAAAGCAACAGGATTACTTTAATGGTGGACCCTGCAACTATTTTTATATTTACCTTCCCTTCGCTTTTTTGCAACTCTGTTTACCTGGAGAAGTGAAAAATCTCATACTTTTGGTTGTGGGGTATGACTTCTTCTCCTTCCATGTGACAACACTGGTATTTGGCCTTTCTGATTTGACCCAGAACAAGCACACAGCTAGTGAAGTCAAGGAGAAGTAAGGACTCTTTATCTGCATACTTCCATTCACTTCCAGTCACTAACCAAGAAATCAAAATGAAGGACAGGCAACAAGTTTTAAAAAAAATAAAGGGCTCAGCATTGAGAACCTGTATTTTTGTCAGTATGTGTTTCCTTTAAATGTGCTAAAAAATTGCAACTGCCACCATTTTATTCTACAGGGTCTTTGCTTTCAGAAAATATATAATCTTCAGGCCTAATATGTGGATTATAACATGTGTGCAAAAACGAAAAGAGAGAAGAAAAAAAAAGGGGCCTTGGCAGCGAAAGGGTTAAAAGAGAACTATGAGGTGAGTGATTTCCACTCTTCCTCATAGTTCGAGCCGACCTGTGACAAAGAAGCTGTCAGAAGCCGGCCCTATTGATCAAGAAGTGAGCAGAAACATGCATCGATCCGCTCCCTTCCCGATTGTCTCACTGCAGTGAGCGGTGATTGTCAGTCACCGCTCCCTGCAGGGATTCCCCACTCCCTTCTCTGATCCTCCAGCACTGACTAGAGGAACGAATGGGGGAGGGGGCGGGCATGAGTGACAGCTGGCTCTGCCTATCTAGTGGCAGAGCCAGCTGTCACTCATGCAGCTGGGTGGATCTCAACGGTATTGTCGGGATCCGTCCCGGCTGCAGCGCTCTCAGTATATCGTGGGCAATAGCCCGCTATATACTGAGCTTTGGGTCACGGGTGGAGGTTAGTATATGTCCTCCCGTGACCCTAAAGAGAACTATGGGGAAAAACACCTCATACTTCTTTTTTAAAGTGTTTTTAACAGTAGGTGTGGCCACTGAGGAACATATTTAAATGAAAATGTTTGTGCCCGGAGTTCAGTTTTAGGAATATTGTATACAGTGAGGCATCATGCTAAATATACTGCAAAATAGATTTTGGGCTTACATAAATGTAAAATATTCTCATTGCTTTTCACATAGCATGTGTATAAGGCCAGTAGTGTGGTGTTATCCATTAGGCAGTTTTACCTCACCATATGCTGTTAATCTATCTCAAGGTTTTCATAGACGTCATTGAAGGCCATTGTGAGCGATACAGTTTAGAGCCCTTTGTTGCCACAAGTGTCCATCTGACACCCACCTACATCAAAGCATTGCTGGGAATGTGCATTTCATTTACACTTTAAGAAAAACATTATTCTAAACTTCAATTGCATGAAGGCCGGCCATTGTTCAGATCTCACATGTGATTGAGGGGCTGCCCGGATTCAGAAATGTTTTTTCGAAAGGGTATGATTAATAAAAAGGCCGCTTCTGTTTAGAACATCTAATTCTAGCAGGCTTGCCTGGAGCCCCAATTACCTCCAAGTGCTGGGTGGACTATTTTATGTTATAATGCATTCTCACATCAGCTAATTATTTGCTAATTGGGAGTAGATCCTCCGAGACATTCTCAATTATTATCCCTCTTTAGGATTAATTGAATTTGATGAATTATAGCCAGAATCCTCACAATGAGCTGAAGCAGCACTGCACAACGCTTTACAGCTAAACCTCAGGCAGATCTAAAACAAACACCACTTAATGCAGTTGTACATTCATTTGAAAATAATTAAATGTGTTTTTACATTTAACTAGCATAAGGTCCTAAATCAGTTTTGATATATGCTGGCAGGGAACATTCTGACTGAAGAAGAGGGCGAGGGGGCAGATGTGACTTACTGGTGTGTTGCTGCTCCTTAAAAGTCCAATTAGCAGCCTGGGGGTAGAGAGGTGACATTGCCATATTCATTAATGCTGAACTGGAGCTGTTGTAGGAACACCAGGTGCTGAGCCATGTGAAGGTGCAGGGCTGAGATTCCCTGGCGCAACTATTGGCTGTTTAGAGAGAGAGAGAGAGAGAGAGAGATTGTACAGGACAATTTGACTAAAAAGGTGCGGCCCCAGTTGCACACAGGAGGGCATGTGATAGCTTTAATAACTATGAATGTGTTGGAAAACTTACAACTCAGATTTAGGTGAATGGAGACAAATTTTATAATTAAAGAGGAACCTTATCCATATCTTCAAAATAACAACAAAGGCTCCTGTAGAAATATTTAGTAATGGCAATCTGCAAACAGATACATCTAGATAATTGCCGGCTTTTTATTCTTTGCATATCTTATTTTTCTTTTCTTCCCCAGTCTTCTCACAGTGGCCATTTTTACTAAGGGCAGATGAATCCATCTCTCTTTACTTCCTGGAACTCTGGCACATGTGACTAGGACATGTGACCATGCACATGATCTCAGGGGAGGAAAATGCCTTTCCCTGAGATATCGTGAGATTACAGATGAGATTTCCCAGCAATGCTCTGCTGATGTAACCTTCCCAGGATGTCTGTGAAGATTCTCATTCATCCAGGTCATGGTATATCTGTAAAAAAATAAGTCAAGGCAACTGGACTTGCTGTATTTTTCTTGAAAATGTTTCACTGGTCATCCAACCAGCTTTCTCAATTCAGAAATTCAGTCAGTAGGGAAAGGTTAGCAAATCCTTTCAGATTTTAACTTCTGTCCTCACTGGGCTGATGCACCCTCTCTTTTCGTGCTGGTGAAGGTTACCACTGAGACTCAAAGTGAGGTAAAATCCAGATTTATTTTTAGTTGTCACTGGAATAACTTTTGCAAGTGGGAGACTTGTTGGGTTGACAGCTGTCTAAGAGGAGATTTCCCTCACTGGAAAGATATTTTGAACTCTCTCCCCATTGTGTGTTCAGGACAAGAAAGGAAGGGAAATCTCCTCAATGGGACAAATGTAGGAGAAAAAAATAAGTTTTAACCCTTCCATAGTCTATCCAAACCAAAAAAATGTTTTGGCTTTGGGTGTACTTTAACATATTTCTCATTGATTTTATTCTAATCGTACATTTTACGGCCTTCTATCCTATATTGTTTTTCATTTATGTATCTATTTATTATGCAGTCAGTCATCAGAAGAAGATGATGCGTTCACCACAAAGCGATATTCAACTGGATTAAATGGAAATGTCTCCCCTATAACAGAACCTGATAGTTCCACAGAACCTAAACAAAGCAAATCTCATCCACTGCAAAGGATAATATCCATCGAGGAGGATCATCTTCCCCAATATTTAGACAGCCAGCAAGACAGAGCACTAAATAACTGGCAGGAGGATGATGAGAAGGAAGAGATCATTGCTTTTAGTGAGGAGAACATCCATAAAGTGGAACACACAGCAGAGGAAGCTTTACCATCTTCCCCCAGAGGGCAGCCTGTTGGAAAAGAGACTCTGCCAAGTGTAAGATCAACAAGAAACTAAACCTTTTCACTAGAGTCGCTTTAATGGGAAGACATTTTTTTCTGTTTTATTTTTTTTACATATATACACTTTATGGCCAAGAGTTTGTAGACACCTGACATCACAGCTACACTATATTGCCAAAATGATATAGAAACCTCTCCAACTTATTGAGTTCAGGTGTTTCCAGTGAAGGGCACTGTTATTGCTACAGCATACAAAGACATTTAAGACATTTTTTGTGTTTCCAACCTTGTGGTAACAGTTCGGGGAAGGCCCTTTTCTGCTCCAGCATAACTGTGTCTCTGTGCATAAAGCCAGCTCTATAAAAAACATTGTTTGATGAGTTTGGTATGGAAGAACTTGAATATTATTATTATTATACAGAATGTATATAGCGCCAACAGTTTGCGCAGCGCTTTACAATATAAGGAAGGCATTACAATCACAATACAACTCAAGACAAGATGGTAAGGAGGGCCCTGCCTCTGAGGGCTTACAATCTAAAATAGCCTGCACAAAGCCCTGACCTTAACTTTAATGAACACCTTTGGGATAAATTAGAATGCTGATTGCAAGCCAGGTCTTCTCGTCCAACATCAGTACTTGACCACATGCAAATGCTCTTTTGGCTGAATGTGGACAAATTCCCACAGACACACTTCAAAATATTGTAGAAAGTCTTCCCAGAAGACTGGGGGCAGTTGTAGTTGCATAGGGGACTTCAAGGATATAACTTAATGCACATGGTTTTGGAATGGCATGTGCAACAAGCACATAGATGTGATGGTCAGGTGCCTACATACTGTTGGCCATATAGTGTAGATGAATGTCATCATTTTAGTGCAAAGATTATTTAAAAGTAAGTGTTAATTTTTTAGAAGCTTTCGCTCTTGCCATAAAGGGTGAAAAATTCATAATAGGGCTAATTGAATCAGATGCCAGTTAGGATTAGTGTGTTACTGGCTTGCAGGAGGAAACCCAAATATAAAGGCGTGCATACAAGATATTAACATGCCCTGAGAGTATTCCACAAAGGAATTGAACTCAGGGCCCCAAGGCTGTAGTACTGACCAGTCAGCTACTGTATTGTCCTTTTTTATTAGGGACCTAGAAGAATTTATTGTCTGCAGCTGCTCTACTTTCACATAATTGGAACTGTGGAAACCTTATTATGCCTGTGCCTACCACTGGCAGCTTTTATATACTGAGATGGAATGTTTTACATACAGTTCCTACTTTAAACCTTCCACCCATGTATGGCTTTTGCAGGGGTAAGGATTTAAAAAAGGGTGTATGTTTGACTAAAGGTGTATGCTTTTTTTTTTTTTTTTTACAACAGGGTTAAAGTTAGCAGTTTGGATGCAAATATTGGTCAGGGGTCCCTTTATCAATGTTTTCACCCATGATTTAAATATTTTCTATGAATTGAGTTATGTAAAAAGTCTGTTAAACTTGGCGGAAAGTTGTGTGATTGTTTGGACCTTACCCACAGATGACTGATGGAGCCCCCAGGGCAATTCTACCAATTCCCAGCTCTTTTGGTACTAGGTTCATGTGGTGGAAGGGGGTGTCAATACTTGTGGACACTTTGATGTTCACAGAATGCATTTAAACTCTTCTACTGCATGGCCTTTGAACTATAACCTGCAGGTTTTGAAGGTCAAATAAGAGGGCATTTGGATAAGCCAGCCACCTCACTATACAAGGAGGAGCACAGCCATAGTGTCATACTGTCTCTCGTTCAACGCACCCCCATAGATAAAATAAAAGTTAGGCATACACCAGTTAGGTCTATTATCCCTGATTAAAACTATCCTGCTGCTGGACAATTATACAATTGATTAATAGCTGTATCTTCTGCAGTATTCTAATTCTTGTAGTGAAACCCCCTCATTCTTGTAGTGAAAGCTTTGCATCTAGTAAATTTAGGTCTAGCCTTGCTCACTAAAACTGTCCTGCTGCTGGCAAATGTTACACTGGGGCATCATCTGGGGTCTCTTTTTTCTTATAGTAAAACCCTTGCCTATACTCCTTTTTTTTCTAGTATATTTCAGCCAATTCTCCCCCATTAAAAATGCCCTGCTTCTAGCCAATTCTCCAATGTTGTGTAATTTGCATTCTCCTAATTCTTAATGAGAGTTTGATAGAAATTGTCCAGCAGCAGTACAGTTTTGCATCAGCGAGCATAGAGACAGCCTCAGCAAACTATTGGCCAATTTCTATCTGGAGGTCAAAGTGAGCCTATTACCATTTCAAGAAAAAGCATGCGTCCCTGCTAAAACTACCTGCAAAAAAATCAATTCCACAGTCAGATACGCACTGCCAATGTACACTAAAAATCAAGCATGTTATTTAAAGGATATTTGTGTTTTCAATGTTCCTCTTAAAGCTGCATTAAAAAAACTCCTCTCCATACTGTATGAATTTTTGTATGCATTGATGCATGTCCCCCTTGGCAGTGCCCAGCTTGCCATGCTTTTTATTTGACAGTAATTTTCCTGCTAGCCTTAAAATGGCCAGAATTTAACAACAATTTGCCAAATTTCAAACAGGATTTGCCAAACACTTGGCAACCCTGGGCAGATTCGTCCATCGCCACCAAGCAGGGACTTTGTCTTCAATCAGATTATGCCATCAGTTTGCTTCAGGCAGGAGCAATCATTTCCTCAGTCTCCCTTCCCCTCAGTGATCAAACTGCATCATTGTGACTGTAGAACTTCCCAAGGTGGGAGGCTGTAGCAGGGGTGGATCTTTGTCAAACATTTGTGAACACAGCCAACAACTGCACAGGCACCAGCATTAACATGATTGTGCCATCTCTGAACCAGCATCTCAGTCCAGGAACTAAATAACGCCCCTGGGTGATGCCTGAATAAAGATGGTTCCATCTTTCTGTAGAGAAAAGCAAATAATAACATTGTCAGAGGGAGTTCTATGACCCTTGTGAGGGGTAATAACGTGTTACATGTACACATTACTTAGCATGCACGCACTTGAAAAAATAAAACTGATTTATTTCTAGGAAGAACGCATGTACAGCCAGCCGGACCGGTTATTTAAAATTGTTGTGGTGGGAAATTCTAGCGTGGGGAAGACATCATTTCTCAGACGGTTCTGTGAAGACAATTTTTACGCTGGGACTTCAGCTACAGTGGGTAAGCAATGTTAAAAGGGCACTCCAGCCACATGGGAAAAAAGTTTAATTTCACTTCACTTAGGGAAAAAGTTCACCTGCCCAGGGATTTCCTTTTTATCCTAGAATTCATCTTATGCAGCAGTCACCCTGCTAGATAAATCATCATAAATCCTGGTGATCTAATTGGGTGCGAGGCAAGGCTGTCTAGTTGCCTTATAGTTTCCTAGCTGCTTCCTGTTGCTGCAGATGCGGAATCTTTATCCATACACTGTTTGCTTAAAGTGTATATAAGGGCAAAATGTTTTTTAGGTATGGATAGAGAAGGGAATAGTAAGAGTCACTGTCTGGTTTTTGTTTCTTTTTGGGAGACTTCTCTGTTTGTTTCCGAGGCACACGAGGAAGTGATAGAAAATGTCTCTAAAATCAGTTACTATACACATAAAGTTTTTTGGCAGTTGTTGACGCTTCTCTCGCTCATCTTCAGATCTTTGCCTAAGTTTTATTTGGGAATTGTCGGCCTGCAAGATAAATGTACCCAAAAGAATGTGTGTATTTCATACCATATATACCCATTGAGCAAGCGGGGAAACTGCAGTCAACAGTCTTTAATTCCCTTGTTGTGAGCAGCTGGTACATCATGAATATTTCTCTTGATTTATCATGAACATTAGAATTTCTTGCATCCCACCAGCATCATTTATATTGAAACACAACATGAAAGGATGTAAATGAAAATCCAGAGTGGTCAATAAACACAGTTTTAATATGATAGGAAGCCGGTGCCAGCAGGGCAGAGGAAATCACATTCTACTTGTTAAGCAGCTTGCTTCTAAATGTTGGTTGTGATAGAAAAGGGTAATGTAAGTTCACAAATGCTTTTGTCAGTTTACCTGTTTTACTACAAGCTGTTATATTTTTCCTTCTTAGTTTTATCTCTTCTATAACCAGCTCATTCTCCAGTTTTTTATTGTCCCATACTGAAATTGCTTACTTGATTTTACTTCTGACTGTAAGCTTTACACAGTGTGTATTAGAAGCTGCGGCAGGTCAGATAGAGCACGCCTCATTCCTGGTTGCACGTCCAGCATCATCTAGCTCCTTCCTCTCCAGCCTGACTATCCCTGTCCTGCACCATGAATTTCAGTTCTTTTAATCATGGAGGCTCAACATTAGCATGTTGATGAGGGGGGGTGGAACCAGGGAAGACAAAATATAAACAGATTCAATTTCAGCTTTACGTTATCCCGTTAAATTATTAGATAAGTCCTTTTTCTCTCCTGATAACTTTCCTTCTATTCTTTCCCATCTCTTTCTTTCTTACTCTTCATGTTATTATCTTCCTTTAATTATGTCAGCTCCTCTCCCTATAATCTCCTCTCCTTGTAATCTATTTCCATGTCCCCTCCTCTCATTTCACTCTAATGTCCTTTTCTGTCCCCTTCTTTCTTCCCTTTCTTCTTCCCTGTTCTCTCCTCTCCATCTTATCTTTCCTCTTCCCTATCTGCCTTTTATCTTTCTTTCCTTCATGCTTTCATCCACTATTTTATATTTCCATTCTGCTCTTCAACTCTGTTCTCATACTCTACTCTATTCCACTCTCCTCTTCTCTTGTCTGTTTGCCTCTCCCTCTAAGCCTCTGCTCAGTCCTTTCCTCTGCTCTTCTTCCTCTCTAATCTCCTTATTTGTCCTCTTCTCTTCTATCCTCTACTCTCCCTTTCTACCCCATTCTCTTGTCTTCCGTTCCATTCCTTACTTTCGCTCTCTCCTCTCCATTTCCACCCCCACCCCCTCCTCTCCTCTTCCCTTCCATCTCTTCCTCTTCATCTCTCTCCTCTCAACTTCCATCCACCTAAAGTAGCATTAAACTCTAAAACATTTTTCAATAATGAATCCAGATCAAACAAATATACATTTTACCAGCAAAGTATTTCTTCAAATTATTGTCCACGCACTTACAGTTATCGTGTTCCCAAACAATCCACTCCAATTCGCTCAGCTCAGCTTCCCTGAACTTCTGGTTGAGTACAAGCTCATAAGGGACAGATCATTCTCCAGCAGCCATCCATCTACTAAGTTGGAGAAGGGAGGAAGGAGGAACGGGGAGCAGGGGAGCAACTTGCCTTGCTGTGTGTGTGTGTTAGTGGAGGCATACATAGCTTACTAGCACACATAAGGGTGGCTCCATAGGACAGTGCAAGGGAAACAAACCACCCTAAAACAGGATATCAGGGTCAGTGCTCAGGGGACCAGCTGATTCTGCAGGAAACTGACATTCTTAAACATCAAGGAGCTGCATCCATTGTATGTGATTTCATCAGCATTTGAAATAGCTTAAAAACCTATTGACTTTAATATTACTTTAAACTACTTCTCATCTTGTTCTCTCATCTCCCCTTCTATCCACTCATCTTGTTCTCTCCTCTCATCATTCATGCCATCTCCTCCTCTCCTCTTCCCTTCCATCTTGTCCTCTTGCTCTCCCATCTCCCCTTCTATCCACTCATCTTGTTTTCTCCTCTCCTCTTCAATCCCCATCTCCTCCATCTACTCCTCTTGTTCTCTCATCTCCCCTTCTAGCCACTCACCTTGTTCTCTCCTCTCATCTTCCATCCCCCATCTCCCCCTCTACTCTTCCATTCCATCTTCTCTTGCTCTCTCATCTCCCCTTCTATCCACTCATCTTGTTCTCTCCTCTCATCTTCCATCCCCATATCCTCCTCTTCCATTCCATCTTCTTGTGTTCTCTCATCTCCCCTTCTATCCACTCACCTTGTTCTCTCCTCTCATCTTCCATCCCCATCTCCCCCTCTCCTCTTTCATTCCATCTACTCTTGTTCTCTCATCTCCCCTTCTATCCACTCATCTTGTTCTCCCCTCTCATCTTCCATCCCCATCATCCTTTCTCCTCTTCCATTCCATCTTCTCTGGTTCTCTCATCTCCCCGTCTATCCACTCATCTTGTTCTTTCCTCTCATCTTCCATCCCTCCTCTTTTTTTTTGTCCTGACACCTCTAAATGAAAGACTTTTTCCTATTAGTTTATGATCATTTACCCACTTAGTCTAGATTTGTTTCAAAAATACGATACATTTGGGAGTAAACAAATACTGTTAGTCACAGATGAAACGGGTCACATTCCTGAACCCAGACCCAAAACCACCAAATCCGGTGTGTATTAAATGACCAACACACATTTTCATATATAGACCTGAATGATTGTTATAAAAGCTCCCCCAGTTTAAACAGCACATTTCATTTAATGAGATCAGATATCAGGCTAAAACTAGATGCAGCACACAGACGTGCTTTAGTGACATAGCTAACAGGTGTCAGAAAATTGTATCTGAATAGAGCCGATCTAGAACAGCTTTATACATCTACCAAGAAGCTTATGCACTTCCCCTTTCACACTCCATTACCCATTCAGGTTTTCTTTCTTAGGTCCTTCAAAGATAAAGTCAGATAACTCCCCTGAGCTCGATCAGTGTGGAAAACACAGAGCGCTATACATAATTTTACAGGTTGCGCTGAAAAAAATCTAGCAAGTAGCCAGTCATGCATACATTATTCTCATAACCGCTCTGAAATGGCGTCACAAATTAGCTCAACAACCCCGCATTGTGTTGGCTAAATATCTTGTGCCAGAGAGAAAGCTTAAAGGAGAACACCATCAGTTAGCCAATATCTAGCTCTGGGTACTCAGAAAAACACAATATAAAACAAAAAATGGTTAAAGGGAAAAAGGGGTTTATAATAACCAAATCCAACAAGCAATACAAATGGCAAACGCACTCATCAATTCATAACTAGCTTAAAGTAAGGTGCACATGGAAGGGCTTTACACAGCACAAAAGCAAACATTTCCCAGCACACTCACCAGCAAGCCTGCAAAAAAAAAAAAATACCCTGTCTAACTATTAGGGTTAAAACAGAGGTTTTAGTTGCATAACTTTTTAAAAAATATGTGGAAGCCGCACTGCCTGGTCAAGGCCCCTCTGTGTAGTGTGGTCCTAACTCTAATCTATGAGAGCCTCCACTGTGGAACATATTTAACAAAGTATGAATTGGGTGCAGGTTCACCAGGAGGCAGCCTAATCCTCCTTGCTTTGTTACTGTGTAAAGCCCTTCCATGTGCACCTTACTTTAAGCTAGTTATGAATTGATGAGTGCGTTTACCATTTGTATTGCTTGTTACATATGGCCCATTCACATCAGTCCCTGCCCTCAAGGGGCTTACAATCTAGGGTCCATATTGCGCACCCATACAGGGCCAATTTAGACAGGAACCACTTAACCTTCCAGGATGTCTTTGGAGTGTTGGAGGAAACCAGAGTACCCGGAGGAAACCCAGGCAAGCACAGGGAGAACATGCAAACTCCTTGCAGATAGTGTCCTGGATGGGATTCGAAATGGGGACCCCCGGTGCTCCACGATAGATTTATTTGTCCATTTAACATATTTTAGGCATGCAATTTAACACTAAAAGCCTCCTTTGTGTAGACATGAGACTGCTGCTGGGCACCGCCATCTTGGACAATATATCAGCAGCTCCAGCAGACTAAGAGCTGAAACTCAAGTGACACTCTACAGTGTCACTTCCTCAGAAGCTACATAAAAGGTTATGTACAGAGGTCAAGGGAGGAGTGGAGAAGCTGGGCCAGCACAGTCAATAATTAGACAATCCCAACAACCCCAGTAGAGGAGTGGGCTATCACATGCAAGACACGAGTGGGCTGTGTTAGGGAAACATCTCTTCTGATATAGTTCAAAAATCATTCATGGAAAGGAAACTACCGTGAGTAAACATATAAAATACTTTCCTGCAATCTTTTAAAATGGCTACAGGGTCTCTTTACGTTCCCACCTAATCTGTGTGACTACGTGTTTTATTCTGAGAAGTCTGGGAAGAACAAAGAATCATGCAGATTTGTAATAACTGCAATGCTTAAGGGTCCCTTCACTCCTGTGCTGTCCGATACAGTACGTTAGCATATACACATTAACGTGCGTTATGTTGTGCATTGATCTAAGTAATGTAAAGGAAGCCCATTCATTTGAATAGGGGGCCAACTCGCCACAATGACCCTATCAGAATGGAACCATTTTTACTGACATGTTGCACCACAATGTTTGTTATGGAGGGAGGGGTGAAGAGGGGGGCGTTCTGTACGACAGCGAAAGATATTGTGGGTGGCTTAGTAGTTATCACTTCTGCCTTGCAGCACTGGGGGTCCCCAGTTCAAATCCCAGTCAGGTCACTATCTGCATGGAGTTTGCATGTTTTCCCTGTGCTTGTGCAGGTTTTCTCTGGGAATTCTGGTTTCCTCCCACACTCCAAAGACATGCTGGTACGTTAATTGGCTCTGGTCCAAATTGGCCTTGTATGTAAGATAGGGACCTTAGATTGTAAGCTGCTTGAGGGCAGAGACTGACGTGAATGTGCAGTATGTAAAGCACTGTGTAGATAGTCAATGTTTTATAAATACCTGTAATAATAATAATAATAATGCAGGTAGGGATGACAACACTGATTTGGTTTCAGTGACCATAAGGCAACTCAGACAGGAAATTAGGAGCGTAATCTATTTCAGGCAGGATCAATGGCTATTGTTCTGTACTTCTAATGTTTTTAAAGCAATACAATATGAGCCTTTATTGCAGAGATGTGCTCAATGTTTTTTCCCAGACACACACTTTAAGATCCAAAAATAATATAACATTAACACGAATGTCTTTTAAGGACATGCAGATATGATCATTTAACTATAGTATTAGAGTGGTGTTTTACCTATTTGGCAAACAGGGTCCCTTTGGAGGGAGAATTGACTTATCCTTGGCTGATGTGTAATCCTTATTGGCAGCTGCTTTTTGCCATGTTGGGTTTTATAAACACAATCATTGTTGATTATAGCTTCATTCAATTATGCAGTAGTTGCTGTTAGCGTTACCTTTGTTTTCTTATAAAATTAACTTGAAACAAGCTAAGCTGATAAGGGATTAGGAAAATCAATTGGTAAATCAGCTGCAGTAATAACAAATAAATACTGACAAATAGCAGCGGTATGAGTCTGTCACTGATGTGTAAATTAATGCTTTTAAAGGATAAATGTGTTTTTAAAACATATTAGCTCTAAGTCGTTGTCTGCAGGAACTGTGCAGACACAGATGAGAACTGAATGTAGAAAGTACAGGTGGAATGTGAGGAACTGGATTGTTTGCGCTGGTAGTTATACCAGTTTGGTATCAAGTCTGGCATAGGAGAAGGACTCCATTTCATGCAACTCTCTAAAGAATAATGGTCATAGGATAGTTCATGGCTTGGATAGACTTATGTGCCAAAAGGAAAGTGTCCAAGTGTGTAAAATTTAGAAGTTGTATGTACAATATAACCTGTGTACATATATGTACCTCAACCATATATAACCCCTATATATGTGCCTAAACCATATATAACCTGTATATATTCTGTATGTACCTCAACCATATACAGTATAACCTACCGTAAATATACTGTATGTACCTCGACCATATACAGTATAACCTATATATATGTAACTCAACCCTATATAAGTTATGTATACTGTATGTACCTCAACCATATATAGTTACAAATGAACACACCTGGAATGTAGTGCACCACAACGCTCAGATGTAAATGCTCTGAACATTGTGGTGTTCCCGGGTGTCATAAACTGTGAAACTGTAGTTTTTTTGTGTGTGTCTTTAGGACCAATAAAAAAATCAATGCATTCCATGCGCAATGCATATCATCATTGGTGTGTTAACAATGCCTTGTTCTCAGAGAGGAAGATTTTTCAAGAGTCATGTGTCAAAAGGCTTCAGATCTGAACATTCTGCTTAAATCTAAACTCCAGGCCTAAAATACACAAATGAATTCAGCTTTGTAACCATTGATGAAACATTAACAGGGTTATTCACTAAAGAGCCGAAGGATCCAGCCGTAGCTTCGGCTGATCCTTCGGCTTTCTTCGGCCACCTCTGCCCTTCGGTTCAGTTGAAACGAAGGGCTGCCGTACGGGCTTGACTAATCTAAAGTGACAGCCAAAGCGGGCGAAAGGCCTGCCGAAGGCCGGCCGTTCGCCCTGCAAATGACAGCTAGGCGGAGCCAGCCGTGATCTCACGACTGGCTTCGCCCAGTTGTAATGACAGATCAGTGTCCCCAAATGATCCGAGGACGCTGATCTGTCATTTAAAAAAAACAACTGGGCGGAGCCGGCCATGACGCCATGACTGGCTCCGCCCAGTTGTTATTCATTGGCCAGGACCTGCTAGAAGACTCTAACAGGTGCCGGCCAATAGGAAACAGTTGGGCCGAGCTAGCTGTCACTGCTAGCTCCACCCAATTGTTTTTCTTTTCTTTTTAAATATCTTTCTTTTTTAACTTTTTAACTTTACAATTTCTTTACATTTTTAGAATATTTTTTTAAACCTTTTTTTTCTACTCTTTCCACTGATTTTCTACTCTGCTCTGTACCACGAAGGTACCGAGCAGAATAGCCGAGCCGAATGCATGCAGAGCATGTTCAGCTGACCAAAGGCAGCCGATGTACGACTGAAATCAGCCGTACTGAGCAGGAGTGAATAGCTGAACGGCGTTCAGGTTTGTTCACTTCGGCTCGGTTATTCACTCGACTGCTTTCGACAGCTTAGTGAATAACCCTGTTAATGTATCTTTTTTACATGCAAGCATTGTTTTTTACCTGAATATCAGCCTCTAACAGTTCCTCTACAGTGGGGCTGGAGGTTGAAAGGAAGAAGCAGCACAAGGAGCCAATCAGTTCATGTGATGACAAGAAGAATGCTGATAGGTGGAGAAAGCACAGAGATTAGCTCATCACTATGCTGCTTCTCCTTTCACTGTCCAGTCACAGTCTGGAGCGGGACCAGGATGGCCTGCGCTCAGGGAAGTTATATGATGGCGGCCTTCAGACTGAGGACAACTAGTGGCAAACAAAAGTATTGCGGGGGAAATCTCTGGACTGAAGGCGAATTATTGCAGCAAAACTGATTCTGTTATTTTATCTTTTAATGGGCTATTCTTTTAATCCATCCATCTACAGCTGATAAAATGAAACTGAGATTTTAGTTAATATAAGTGGACACTTGCCATTGTTCTTGAATAGAATTAGCAGTTTAATAATTGGTTTTACTCATTACGTTGAGTAATTCATCTTTACTCAGCTTTGTGTGCATTCTTTTGGTGCTGTAGGTATTGATTACAGCGTAAAGACGGTGACGGTGGATAACTGCCAGGTAGCATTACAGCTCTGGGACACAGCTGGACAAGAAAGGTCTGTAATTGGATGTCCTAATGTTACTTTCTCATGGTTTATAGAGACGTCAGCAATGGCGAATTGCTCATTATTTCTAAAATGTTTCACATAATGGAAATTACTTATTATCTATGTGCATGAAATGTAGAGATTGTTCTTTGGAATTATGTACAGGACAATGGCGAATGCTGCTGCCTATTAAAGATGAACTCTGGAAGCTGTGCCTAAAAAAAGGCAGGCAGAGGGCAAAGGACTAGTCATCAGCATTGCTTGTGGTCCCTCCGCAGCTGATCTTTTCCCAGTAATGACTTACTTACCTTGTCTTAATCTGTGTCTCTGTATAGAGGGGGGCATCTTGTTAGAGGCAGAGCTCTGATTTCTCATGACAGAAAGAAACCGTGTGCAGTACAGTAGTGACATCACCAAATCTCATTCCAAATCTCCTAAAACTAGCAGTCAGAGGCAGCAGTGCCTTGGATCTCACACTGCAGATTTACAGATGTGAGGCTGTAAGCGCAGGAGAGCCTAGGCACACTCACATAATGGGCTATACAATTAACAATTCTAGATGTCCCCTCTAACAGCAAATATACTTTTTGGGTTTAGGTCCATTTTTAGTGATATAGATAAATAAATATTGCTGCACTCCTTACTGGATTTAGTTTAACCTGTAGAACACAGGTGGGTGATTGAAATGACCACAGATGGCACAGTGAAATATATATGTATATATATATATATATACATATATATTTCACTGTGGACCCTGTGCTTGCATTTGAATGGCAAAGTTTTGCCATTAAATGGACTTTAGCTGAATTCACTTGTAACATGGTGTGCTGGTGACATCTTTTGAAATTGCTAGGTCCATTTTAAATCATCATCCGCTTTTTTAAATTAATTTAATTTTAATTTACACTAATAAAAATAAAGACCACAAGCTGGTTTTTGACTTTGCACTGCAATGAATGTGCAAAGTGTGTTACCATGTGTTAGGGTATTGTACATTATAACATAGGTCACGATGCAAGTTATAATGCATTCTATGGTGTGAAGACTCCAGGAAATGTTTTTCGGAAAATCCTGTGGGAGATAAATGTAATATGTTATTTCCATTAGGGGTGACCTGTTCTGGTTCCCTCCCCCCACCAACCCCCAATTTTTTTCATAGCAATACTAGTCAAACTTAAAGGTATGCATACTGTTTAAGTATAAAAATATTCAGATCTTCCAGTAGGGACAGGGTGCTACTCCAAGTGTTCCTTGCTCTTGGTTATGTGATCTGTACTGTCACGTGACCTTGTGCGAGAGTTGCATGGTGCAGCTTCACTTTGCCAGTCATCAGATGCGTCTTTTGCCTTCCATGGAGGCTCTTTTTGGCACCTCTCTGCTGGCAAGATGTGGATCCTTACATGTTTCCTGTTTTTATAGACACATACTGTGTAATCTTATTTTTATTTTTGATTTCTTTTCTTGGAACAGATACCGTAGTATCACTAAGCAGTTCTTTAGAAAAGCTGATGGTGTTGTTGTAATGTATGACATCACATCCAAGGAGACATTCACGGCTGTACGGCAATGGCTTACCAGTGTAGAGGTAAGAATAGAAACCAGTCTCAATATGTGCAAGTTTTATTTTGTTGTGTTCTTGTTCTGTTCTCACCAGGATGGAACATATCCGCTGCAAGTGTTTCTTGGCAAAGTGAACCTAAAGTGCTTTCAACATACCTGACCACAAGGCTGATTTTCTAATCCTGCTACCTGTGTACTAGAACACAAGCTTCCTTGGCCACTTCCTGGCAGTTGGTCCTTTAAATCATCTCTGAATTCCTGTTGACACTGTCCCTTCCGGAGGTTGGCTACTTTTTGTTCCCCATGGTCCCCGTGTGTGTTGTAAAGTAGCCACCACTCCAAGCTCACTCCAGTGATGGACTACAATCTCACGTTTAGGGCCCATTCACACCACATCCGCACCACATCCAGATCATCTCCAGACCAGACCAGATTGTTTCCGGACCCAAAATGCATCTTAATGTATCCCTATACTACTTCTGGCCTCTGTTCACACCAGAGCAGTCTGTTCCAGACCAGACCAGAAGAATATTGCATGTGTCATTTTGTCTGGTCTGAATGCACTGGAACTACGGGCAGGTTCACACCATTTTACAGACCAGATGTGGTCCATAAAATGGTGTGAACCTGCCCTTAGTTAGCTACTTTGTATTGAGATTGCAGTCAATCATGGGAGGGCTAGCTTGGTGGCTACTTTACAACACACACACAGGTACCATGGGGAACAAACGTAGGCACCCTCCAGAAGGAAGGACAGTGCCAGTATGAATTCAGAGATGATTTGAGGATCTACAGCCAAGTGATACACAAAGAAGATACATTTTTGTTAATAGTTAAGGTAGTTGAATGCATTTTTAAGATTTAACTCCTGAGTTTAGAGTCACTTTAAATGTACTTATGTTTACATGTGTTTTCACAAGTTTATGTGCCCTTGTCTGCGGGTTTAGAGTTGGGATGCACTAATACCGATACCAGTATCAGTACCGGTGCCAATACCGAGTATTTGGGTGAGTACTTGTACTCGCCCAAATGTTCTGATACTTACCCCTGATAACGGTACTTCCGGTCAGAGTGTGGGGGGGGGGGGGGGGGAGGGGGTTCCATACTGTTTGGCCAGCTCAATGCTGATTGGCCAGGAAGCTAATCATTCTGTACTCGTCGATACCGAATACTTCCGGGAGCCTCCTGGCTTCCTGATTGACGGCTTCCTGGTTAATCAGCTCTGAGCCAGCCAAACATCATAGAGCCGGCCTCCCGACCAATCAGGAAGCCTCATTCCCTGCCGCCTGGCTTCCTGATTGGCCCGGAAACCCGGCTCAATGCTCTCGTAAGTACCAGTATCCGAATTCAGTATCGCTGAGTACCGAAGGATAAATATCGGTACTCAATGAAAAAAAGGTATCTGTGCATCCCTAGTTTAGAGTATGTACTCTGCCCTTGGATGCACAGAATTAAATTTTTTCTGAACGCAGCTGAAACGAAGGCACCTAAACGCAGGTAACACACAGTGTGAATTATACCATTTAAATCATTATGTGCATTTATATATGTTTAGAAATGTTTAGAAATGTCCTATCAATGCTTATAAATGCGTGTCTTTGCCAGTGTGAGTTTCCATCAACCCTGATTGGTAAATATTTTTAATAATATTTAAAAATAATATTGTTTTTTCTTCTAGGATGGAGCTGGAGAAAATATACCTATATTAATGTTAGGTAATAAAACAGACATTGAAAAGGAAAGAGAGGTTCCCTGCGGTCTGGGAGAGCACTTATCTAAGGTAGAGTGTGAATACTGAAACCATTTACATGTAAAGAGCAAGAGATAGAGGAGCCATTCTGGAGACAAAAGTTGAGCACATAGTTGCAGCTTTTTGCCCATGGGGCTGAACAAGAAGAAAAAAATGCTTGAATAGCAGTTAGTTAGTTACTGCAGATATAATCGATCTGAGGAAACAAGGGACCTTTATAGATCATTTTAAAAATAACTGAATTATTTATAATGAATAACTAGTTTTAAGGGAATCACGCCAAGGATGCCATGGCATAGAAGAGAAGGGGAGAAAACACACATTTCTGCCTCACGAGCTTCCTATACAGCTGATCGGTCCAGTAACATCCTAAGCAGATAAGCCTAGTATTTGGCTGCATTGTGAAGAGGCTTTTAAGGAGCTGATAATTGTTTCTTACTATGAAAAACGTATGGGCTTTGCTGGGAAGCTGTATGTGGGGCAGGCAGAGTCTGTATATGACCATGTACTGGACTTCAGTCCAGTGACCTTATGTCAGCACCGGTGAATATTTACAGGTGTGCATGTCTGTCTCATGTCAGTTATGCATTATACCTTTGAGAGGACCCTGTCTTCAACTTGAAAAACTGCATGTAAAAGCACAAAAAACAAGTATTTTAATTGCTTACTTGCAGTGGTTTTTCTTTCCATAAATGTTTTTTTATTCACTTGCAAGGTGTCTTATAACTTGCTAATTATTTCAAATACTCCAGGAGAGTCAATTCCCTAGCACAGCCCCCTCCCTCCCTACACGTCATAGCCCTTCTCCTCTGGGAGTATCTAATTACTTTCTGTGATGGCCCAGCTCCTCCGCTCCTCCCCTCTTCTCACCCCCCTAAATAAAATTTTAGGTACCTGCCAGAGAAGGAGCGAAGGAGAATACTATAGAGCAGGGGTAGGAAAACTCCAGCTTTCCAGCTGTGGTGCAACTACAAATACCATTAGGCATTGCAAGTCTCTATCAGCCACAGGCATGACTCCCAGAGGCAGATTCATGATGGGATTTTGTAGTTCACCACAGCGGGAGGGCTGCCTGCACCTGCTATAGAGTGTCACTTGAGAGGCAGCTCTTAAAGGAGAACTATGACATGAGTGATTTCCACTCACCTCATAGTTCTAAACCGACCTGTGACAATGAGACTGTCACAGGTCGGCTCAGTAGATCGGGAGGTGAGGGAAAACATACCGGGTTCCCTCACCTCTCGATCCTGTCACGGCTCTCTGCCGTGACAGGGGGAGGGGCTGGATTCCCCTCTCTCCGCTCCGATCTGCCAGCGCTGACTGGCGGAACGGACGGGGGAGGGGGCGGGTACAGCTGGCTCTGCCTCTAGGTAGGCAGAGCCAGCTGTCACTCACGCAGCTGGGCGGATCCCGTCATCTAAGTCGGGATCCGCTCCAGGTGCGGCGTCTCAGTATACCGCGAGCTGTAGCTCGCGGTATACTGAGCTTAGGGTAACGGGAGGACGCTAGTTTGTGTCCTCCCGTTACCCTAAGGAGAACTATGGGGAAAAACACTGACCCCATAGTTCTCCTTTAAGCTGGCAATCTTCCCTGCTAGGAAATTGTATTCAGACACAGCCCATGCCCACAGCTGATTGGTGGCAGACGCTGTTCACCCAACAATTTTTGCCCTGGCTTCTTTGACAATGGAAAAACCTTGACCTCATCAACCTAATATTTTAGACTGAAGCCCAAAAGTGATTTACTGATAAAACAATGGCAGGCAAACAGTATTCAGAGAATAGTAATACAGTAGAGTGTTCTATTCTGATTGTAAACATCAAAGAAAAATACATTTTAGAAAATGTAAAATAAAATAAATGTTTTTTTATTGACAGTTTGACATGTTTTTTGTTATCTTGTAGGACTGTAATTTGATTTTCTATGAATGCAGTGCCTCTAGTGGACAGAATGTTAAAGACTCTGTTCTACATTTAGCAAGGTGAGTGATGAACTCAGACCCTGCAATGTGTTCAAACCTATTATCATCAATTGACATTGCAGACTCTGCTTGTAGCAGATCGATGAAGCCTATTGTTGTGTGGATACAGTGAAAGCATCCCACTTAAACTATGGCACTTTTTTTGTTATGAGGGGACTGGATCAGGCCTGTTGCTGCATAGTGGGCCTGAATCAGGTCAGGGGGGACCTGGACTAGCCCACCATGCACATATGCAGGAACAGATCACTTACACCAGCGTTCTATTGATGATTGTTAATCAGCAAGCAATAGATCACTGTTGCACTTATCAGTTCTCCATGGATGAGGCAGAGCTGCTGTAGTTTAAAGCACATACCAATAATGTCACAAATAACATCAGAACACTTTCTCTTTACACAAAATGTAAAGCACTCTCCAGGGGGTTCTGTAAGAAGATCGCAGACCTATGTGGAGGTCAGGATGATGTGCATAATAATAACCTTAGAGAAAATATAGAAAAAGCAGTGTTGTGAAGGCTAATGAGTTCATCCCTTTGCTCACTCTGCTCACTCCTTCAATCAGCACGCTTGGTTGCAGTATATTTGCATGCAACATGTCTGATTAGTTTCTAGTGATGCTCATCACTCTACCAGTTATAACACTGCTGCACAGGGAATTAAAAGAGACTGATACTATGCTAACTTCAGGAACTAGTTTCATTCAGCAAATACATGTAATGATTTATTATTAAATACAGAACTGCATTATTATTTATATATGCCTGGAGTTCAGTTTTAAAGGGAAATTCCACCTTTTGCAGAAAAGTAATAAATGCACACTTCTTCATAAAAGAAAAAAATGTGTATTTACAACCCCCATTCCAAAAAAAGTTGGGCCGCTGTGTAAAATCTACATGAAAACAGAATGCAATGATTTGCAAATCTCATAAACCCAACCCCAACTTTTTTAGAATTTAGGTTGTATTATTTCTTTGCATATTAGCCAGTAAAGCATTGCAACCACAATTAGTAGATCACGGGGGCAATACTTTGGCTCCTGCAGACTCTTCCTCCTGTCCATGTCCGTTCCTCATTACGGACATTCAGTAACATGGACAGGAGGAAGAATGAATGTACTTGAATAAGGTGATGTCACCGCACTGATATTCCATTAAGTACTGCATGTCCCTCTGCCGCAGTGGCTGAGGACTTGTTGTTTCTCCATTCCTGTCAAAGGATCTGTGAATAGGGATGGAACATGAAACATGGCCAGAAACATGTACTTATCCTTTAAGGTTTGCAGAATCTAATAAAGGATTTATCAGAACAGTCTTATCTGGTTATTCTGTATTTCTTTCCATATCTTCTTACAGATTCCCGTTGATACTTTGTTACTCTTGTATTGACATAGACATAGGCAGCGTCTTAGTGACTTATGGATATTATGGAGAAAATGAACCATAAGTGCTGCTATGAAAGAGACCCTGGCAGCATTTGCTGGATAATTTACATTATTCATCTAGTAGCAATGTAAAAATGGGAACTGTGATAGGAGAGTGATGATCTCATGCCCGGGAATGAGACAAATATCTTCATAATAATAGCATAATAAACGCCAATCAAAACGCTTTGTTTTAAAGTGAAACTTAGAGACCCTGTCACCAATTTAAAAAAATTGCGGGTAAAAGCACAGAAAATCAAGTAATATACTGTATATGATTACTTGCAGCATTTTTCTTTTACATGAATTACTTTTTATTCACTTGCAATATGCCTCTGAACTTGCTAGAAAATGTGAATACTCCAGGATGAGTCAATTCCATAACACAGACCACATGCTCCTTCCACGTCATAGTACCCTCCTTTTGGGATGTCTGTAAAAAAAAGTCAAAGCAACTGGACTTGCTGTATTTTTCTTGAAGGTGTTTCACTGTAACCAGCTTTCTCAATTCAGAATGACTTGCCCCTTGTGGACCTTAGTTCTGCTTTAATTTTGGGTAGAGCCAGAAAAGGTTAGATCCGCAGGATTTTATTGCTCTGTCTCTATTTGGGAGGTTTTCCCCCATATCCTGTCCTAGTGACTGCAGTCACCCTGGAAGTGATGAGGAAAATCATCTGTAATGGGAACCCAGGTAGTGTTTTTATGGATTAGAGCTTCTCTCAGATTTTTATTGCTGTGTCCCCATTAGGAAAATGGCCCCTCATTTCTTGCCCTTGTGGTTACCAGGACAAGACATGATAGGAAATTTCCTCAGTGAGGACACAGATAGAAAATCTGACAGATGTTCCAACCTTTCCCCATTATATGTAAGATAGAAAAAAAACAGTTGGCGCTGGAATTCAGCTTTTACCATCAAGTCACCATCTTGGCTTTGCTGTCTGGTAGGACTGTATGAAGATGATTTTACATTACTCACATTTCTGCTGATTTCTGCTGAATCGGCCAAAACTTGAGCTGTGGGTGGCCTCGTAGGCACCACTCAGCTCATCAAAAGTCACTTTTTCAATCGACGTTTGTTGAAAGTGCTGGGTGTAAAATCATTGGTCGAATATTGACTTCATCCAATCACATGCAATCACAGGTCTTGCTGGCTTCTGAATTCAATAGGCTGGATGAAGGAGATTACTTCGTCCACTCTGTTTAGTGTGGATGGGGGAATTTATAGATTTCTTACATTCAGCCTGTGGGGCTGCACAAGACCGGTAGATAAAAATGGCAGATAAAATAGCAGGTAAAATAGTTCCTTTAATTGTATTTTAACTATATTGTATATTTAGCTGTTTTCCCTAAAGTTTATCTTTACATGTTTGTCATCCTTCTTATATTTTGAAGGATATTGAAAGAACAAGAAGATAAAGTGAAGGAAAAGACAGTGCGGCTGCTGGACTCTCCCAAGAAGAAGAGCTGCTGTTCCAGGCAGTAGCTGATGATGTCTGATGTCTCATTTGATGTATACACTACTGTCCTAGGACTAGATTTCCTAAGATGTATATTTATGTAGTATAATACTACCAATCAACATAATATTTATTGCTAAATTGCTACAAACTGTTTCCTTTCCTGATATGTAATTCAGGAAAATGTTCCATATACTGCTATTCAAAACACTGAAAAAATACAATTCTGAGATTTTTTTTTTTTTGTACAGTAAACCTGGGTAATTTGTACTGAGCATATAATGAACATTATGGAAGCAGAGAATAAGTTCAGAAAAAAACACATAAAATTATCAGTAAATAATTAGAGATGAAGCGTCAAGGATGAAACAGTTATTGCGTGTCACCAGCAGGGGGCATCAGGCGCTCACCAGGCACAATCATAGTGTGTCTAGTCTTCTCTTGAGACACTGAAGGAGCAGAGATGAGGTTAGGACAGGCTGAAGGTCAGGACTAGCTAGAGGTCAGGGTTGGCAGCAGACAAATGTCATCCAGAAACAAGAAGATCAGGGCAGCTAGCTGGCAGCGAGTGGATACCTAGTGGATACCTGGATGTTAGGAGTAACAGGTATGGGAGGATGAGCCAAGGGCAAACAGAGTCAGATAGCAAGGGCAAACAGAGTTGTATTAAGCCAGCACATCTGACTACTCAAAAGCAACCATGCAGATCAGGATACAAAATACATTAATCGGGCACTGACTGAGTGCTTGACTCTCAATATAAGTACTACTAATTGATGCCAGGCGGACAGCTGTAGCATAACCATGCCACAATGCTAAATATTGTCCAGCAGATGGTGGGGAGGAGCATCTAAACATATCAGGATTGAGCACCTCAGATAGTACATCTGAGGTGCTCAATCCTGCAAGAATTACACAGCTGCAGGTTGATAGTTACATATAGGCTGCAGATTATATGTGCAGTAGTAAATGTCACACTTTTCTGTTAAAGTAGAATTAACCACTTGAAGACCGGGCTATTAAACCCCCTTCCTGTCCAGGCCATTTTTTAGTATTCAGCACTTCAGTACTTTGACCGACATGTATTCCGTCATGCAACGCTGCACTGAAATGAATTTTATACAATTTTTTTGGGACAGATAGAGCTTTCTTTTGGTGGTGTTTAATCACCACTGGGGTTTTTATTTTTTACTATATAAAAAAAGGTAGCGGAAATTTCAAAAACCCCAGCTTTTCCTACATTATGTTAGAAAACATTATTTAATTTTATTTGAATATTTGTTATATTTTTGGTAAAATGTAAAAGACGGGCTCACGTCGAGTAAATATTTAGCGAAATCGCAAAAAAAACTACCATACCCAAAAATTGCCGTAGGCGACTCTTTAAAAGCTTTTACCACTCACCAATTTAGTGTTAACAGTGATTGATGGCCTTACAATTATTGCTCACACTCCGATGTTCAAGGTGATATGTAACATGTGCAGCGCAATGGGCGCAAATGTCGTTTTCGCATGTACGCACACTCGACGCAAGTTTGCGTTTGCATGTGTGTGTACATGGGGGCAAAGGATTTGAAAATTTTTTTATTTTTTTAAACATGAGTTAAAAAATGTTTGAACTTTTTTTACTTTACACGTAATTGTATTGCTATCACGTAGAGTGGCTAAGCAATGATGTCACCTAGGGAACCTCAAATAAGCTGATGAAGCAGAGATCTGCTTCACCAGCTTTTTCTCTGTCTACAGAAGCTGGAGAAATGAAATTGCAGAGCTGCTGTGCTGGTCTTGGGCTCACACCGGGAACAGCGGAGCCCGGTATCGCCAGCAGCGTGGCGACGGAGGGGGGGCCCGCAGACCCGACCGGATATTACAAGCGATCGGGCGACTCTATAGCCGCCCGAACGCTTGTATGTAAATAGCCATTGCTGGCTGTTTAAGTGCTGAAAAAATATGTTTTTAAACCGCCCACCCGCATTCAAGAGTGTCTCGTCCAGCCGTTTAATTACAATGGCCAGACAGGAAGGGGTTAAACTCTCAATCTTTTCTTTTAAAATTATAATTCAAGTTCAAACAAATGTATGTTGTCCAGCAAATAATTTTTTTGTGCCCAAGCACTTACAATCATCATGTTTTTGAACAGCTAGCTCCAACTCTCTCAGCTGGGGTTCCCAGAATTTCCTGCCCAGTACAAGATCACAAGAGACAGATCAGTCTCCAGCAGCTGTTCATCTACTAGCTTGGAGAAGGAAGGAAGGAGGAGTAGGGAGCAGGTAAATAACTTGCCTTGCTATGTCTGTGTGTTTGTGGAGACACACACAGCCTACTAGCACACACAAGGGTGGCTCCATAGTACCCTGGAAGGGAAAGGAACCTCCTTAAAACAGGATATCAAAACCATGCTCAGGAGACCAGCTGATTCAGCAGGAAACTAAAACTTTAAAGCCCCAAGGAGCCATTCCGGACCTTTACATGAACAATCAGGATTTTGTATATTCCTTTTGCTGTCTATGTCTCTGGCTTTACTGATCATAATAACATGTGTTTTCAACTGAAGATAACCACTATTAATGCATTTTTCACCATGTGCTCAGTTTCAGTTGCCCACGTTTGTGACAAGTTTACTTTAAACAACTTTAACTTTAAACAAAAAAGGGGGGGAAAAAATAATTTTACTTTCATATGAAAGAACTTTTCATGTTGGTGGTTTGATATTTGGTCTTCTATGAAACCAAACAATTGCCTCTGTTTAGAGAGGAAGCATACAATTTTTTTGTGTGGAAGCCCTGTCCTAGCAGCTTATGCTACTACAATGTTTTTGAATAAAGTGCCTAACTGGTCATGTAGCTTTCTTTCCTTCATGCTGCATTAGGAGAGTGAATGAGAAAATCTGATTGGCTGCTACAGGCAGCAAGAAGAAGAAGTTTCCCGCTAATACTTTAGGAACTAAAGCTCTTTCAGAGTTAAAGCGGAAGTAAACCACCAGAGCTAATTCAAACTTTACAGGCCCGGGTACTTTTTGCCATACAAGTATGCATAGCATATTTGTACATTATGATACACATACCCATCAAAGTGATCCCTTCCGGTGATATCTGTTTTTCTCTTGATAAGACAGAGCTTTTAACCTCACCTGGTCTTTTTCCAGGTTTAAAGGCTTTGGCCATCTTGATCTGCTGGGTTGGGATGACTTAACTCCATGCACATAGGACTTGCTTCATCCTGACACACAATCGTGCTGAATTTGTACACTGAGATGTGCATGTGCAGCTCAGTGTACAATACTGACAGGCGGAGAAAAACATTTATAACAGAAAAGACATAAAGAATCACTACTGTCTTAAAAAGCCTACCTGCCAGGTTTTTTTTAAAGGAGTTTACATAGGCTGGGCTGGGCTGAGGGATAGGCAGAAGAGGTGGCCACCTTGGAGGCTTCAGCAGGAGGGAAGCGCAAAAAGGGCAAGACCTGCAACCCATGCTGCTAAAGTAGCTCACAGCT